CCCCCTGGTCACGGCCGACAAATGGTCTTCCAGTGTCAGCCGCGGATCCAGGAGGACACCCAAGTTGCGAGCCCTCTCTGAGGGGGCCAAAGTTTCGCCCCCTATAGACAGCGATGGAATCAGCTGGCTATGCCGGGGCGCCGGCAACCACAGCCACTCGGTCTTGGAAGGGTTGAGTCTGAGTCTGTTCCTCCCCATCATCGCACAGTCAGCCAGATGTTCAGACTGGATTTGGCATTTTGTCTACCTATTGAGTCCTTCCCAAGGACCTGGGATAGGCAGATATGGATGTTTGATGTTATTACAGATATTGTCGCAGGATGGAAGCAGTTCCTAGCAAGGCCGCCTTTTGCAATTGACTCATGGCGAATTTGTCAATGCCGATGATGGTGTCCAAGTGGTGCTCCAGATGTTTTGGGATTGCACTCAAGGCGCCTATTAACTATTGGTGCCACCCTTGCTTGCTTTTGCCACAGTCTATTTCTATTTGTAGGTCTTTGTATTTTGTTATCTTCTCCAGTTCTTTCTGCTGTCTCCAGGCAATAATAATAATAGTAATAGTAATAGTAATAGTAATAGTAATAGTAATAGTAATAGTAATAATAATAATAATAATAATAATAATAATAATAATAATAATAATAATAATAATAATAATAATAATAATAATATTGTGTTTCGCTGACTGTAAGAGAGGGGGACAGATTGCAAAAATTAGAAATGCATTTTGACTCCCGGGAAGGGAAAAGAAAGATTTCTTGTTGCTGAATGAGTCCCTTATAAAAGAATAGTTCTGCAACCAGTTGTTTTTGATACTACAAGTAGTCCTCTACTTATAACTAACTATTCCTTTAGCAACTGCTTGAAGTTACAGGAGCACGGAAAAAAGGGACTTAGGACCGTCTTCCACACTTATGACCGTTGCAGCGTCCCCGTGGTCACGGGATCAAAATCCAGACGCTTGGTCAACTGACTCATGTTTACAACGGTTGCCTTTTCCAGGGTGATGTGATCACATCCTGTGACATTCCGACAAGCAAAGTCAAGGGGGCAGTGATTCACTGAACAATGGTGGCAAGGAAAGGTCGTAAAAGGGGGCAAAATTCACTTAACAACCATCTCACTTAGCAACCGAAACCCTGGACAGAATTGCAGTCGTAAGTCGAGGACTAAGCTGCAATGACCTTGGCTTTCAAGCAGGCAGCAAGAAAATCTATAGGAAGTGTCGCAATAATTTCTCCTAACGGCGCATTGGTGGTTCAGTGGTAGAATTCTCGCCTGCCACGCGGGAGGCCCGGGTTCGATTCCCGGCCAATGCAACGAGATTTTTATTTTTTTATTTTTTTTTACACTTTGATTCGTTGGCGATTCAGTTTCTCCCTGCAGGGTTGAAGGAGACGCCCGTTTTCCTTGCAACGCACCATTTCCACTTCAACGGGCCCCCCTCCCTACGGTGCAAACCCAGCCAGGCATCTACCTCTCACCACCACTGGGGACTTTTATGGCTGCCATTAAAATCCAACGTGGGACTACAACTCCCATCGTGCCAGCCGGAGCGGGAGATGCATGGCAGGAAAGCAGGGGAAAAGGTTGCACGAACATCAATCCAGGCTCTACTCCCAAGCATAAAAATGGAAGGAAGAGGGCAAAAAGAGCGAGAAGCCGGCTTCAGTCTCGCGACTGCGCACGCGCCCCAGCGCTTCCGGGTGTGGGCGCGGCCGCGCATGCTCTGTTCCTCCTCCTCGGCGGATGGTGCCCGGCGCCGTGATGGAAGCGGGGAAGATGGCGTCGCCCAAGAGCGCCCCGAAGGATGCGCAGGTGGGGCCGGGGAGAGGCTGGGGGGAGCCGGGAGGCTTTTGCTGGTGCGGGGGCCGAGGGGGCAGCGCCGCCTCTCTCTGTCTCTGCCTGCCCGGCGCTGGCGCTGCTCCCCAAGTGGACGATGGGCTTTGTAGTCCGAGGGCTCGATAATGGGGGAGGGGCGGGGGTCTCTCCGCTGCATCTACCCCGATTTACTCTGCCTTCCTTCCTTCCTTTACATTCCTTCCTTCCTCCTCCCTCGCTCCCTCCCTCTTCCTTTCCCATCTCCTCCTTTCCTTCCTTCCTTCCTTCCTTCCTTCCTCCTCCCTCGCTCCCTCCCTCTTCCTTTCCCATCTCTTTCCTTCCTTCCTTCCTTCACATTCCTTCCTTCTTCCTCCCTTGCTCCCTCCCTCCTTCTTTCCCATCTCCTTCCTTCCTTTCCTTCCTTCCTTTCTTCCTTCACCTTCTTTCCTTCCTCCTCCCTCCCTCCCTCCTTCTCATTCCCATCTCCTTCCCTTCCTTCCTTCCTTCCTCCTCCCTCGTTCCCTCCTTCCTTCTCCTTCCTATCTCCTTCCATCCTTTACATTCCTTCCTTCCCTCCCTCCCATCTATCTCCTTCCATCCTTTACATTCCTTCCTTCCCTCCCTCCCATCCATCTCCCTTATTTTCTTCTGCCTCCTTCCTTCTTTCTTCCCTTTCTTTCATTCCTTTCTTCTTTCCTCTTGTCCTCCCTCCCTCCCTCCCATGTTTTCCTCCCTCCCTCCCTCCTTCCTACCTACCTACCTACCTTCCCATTCCTTCCCTCCCTCCCTCCTTTCCTTCTATTGCTCTTCCTTCTTTCCTTCTACATCCTTCCTTCTTCCCTCCCTCCCTCCCTCTACTGTGGCTCCTGGGGTGTTGTTTACTCCCTCTTTGCTAAAAGCGTCCTGGTCACCCCTTTGCACCCTCTCCCTGCAACCTGAGGCCGGTTCCAGGTGCACCGGATGGCTGCCAGTCCGAGGACCGGCTTTAGAAAACACCTTGTAAGTTTTTAAGCCCTCGGAGCTTGACTCCGAGCAGATTCCCCTTGGAAGACCTGCCTTCTCCCTTTTCCTGACTGATTGTCCAACGTGGCTCAAGCCGAGCCGATTTCTTTCAAGCCCACCAACCACGATGAACTTAACCCAAACTGGACAAATAGAAAAGGAAAAACAGAGATCTAAATTGTTTGGCGGCGGGAAGAAGAAAGGAGTAGGGAAGAAAATCCAGAGAGGAGCTTTAGAACTTTGCTTAGTTTTCAGAGGCCAAGAAACATTAGGAAAAGGAACACTAGGAAAAGTCTGTTTGTGCTGCTGTTGTTGCTGTGCAGTGCCTGACGATTTCATTCTGTTGCACAGGTGATGGCCCAGATCCTAAAAGATACGGGAATTACCGAGTATGAACCGCGGGTTATAAACCAGATGTTGGAATTCGCATACAGTAAGTGATCCCCTTGGTCGCCTCTGCGTGTCCGTACACCGCCCTGTTTGCTCGCTCTTTCCCACGGAGGCAGAATCCACAATAACAAATTCCCTTTCAAAAACCTCGGAACGGAGTCTGCCTCCTTGAGCGGCTTACGCTTAGATGCCCTAAATCATCCCAAATAAACCAGGATTCCCAGACTTTCTACCACAAAATAAAAAGAGGCAGCTGGAGTGCCAGGGAGACCAAGATCTCAAGGCTGTTAAAGCCGAATTTCTTTCTAGAGAACAGGCCTCTGCAAAAAACCTTTCCTTCTGGGACACGATGGGTTTTCCAGAAGGGGCCTGATCTATTTTTCAGTGCCGTTGTAACATCGAACGGTCACTAAATGAATGGCTGTCGAGGACTTCCTGTGTCCTCGTGTTCCTTTGTCATTGTTTATTTGATTCTATTATTTTACTTCCCTTCTGTTTACACCAGTGGTTCTCAACCTGTGGGTCGGGACCCCATTTGGGGTCGATCGACCATTTCATGGGGGTCGCCAAGCAAGACTGTCCGCCATTTTTTTTGTCCGCCATTTTTTTTTGTCCGCCATTTTTCCCCCTTTTCTGGCAGGTGCCTTACCTCCCTTGGGCTGGGCCAGCTGGTGGTCGGCCTACTCCGTCTCTGCCGCTTGCCAGCTACGCCTCGGCCGGCGCAGGGGGCGGAACCACGCATGCGTGGCGCTCCCGGGCAGGGAAAGTCCTCGACTTACGACCAGTTTAGTCCTCGACTTACGACCGGTTTAGTCCTCGAATTACGACCGGTTTAGTCCTCGACTTACGACCGGTTGGGGTCGCGGCATTAAAAAGGTTGAGAACCACTGGTTTACACTGCTTTCATTTTCCCTTCCTTCCTTTCTTTCTTTCTCCTCTCCCTTCCCTTCCTCTTTCTTTCTTTCTTTCTTTCTTTCTTTCTTTCTTTCTTTCTTTCTTTCTTTCTTTCTTTCTTTCTCCTCTCCCCTCCCCTCCCCTCCCCTCCCTTCCTCTTTCTTTCTTTCTTTCTTTCTTTCTTTCTCTCTCCTCTCCCCTCCCCTCCCCTCCCCTCCCCTCCCTTCCTCTTTCTTTCTTTCTTTCTTTCCCTTGTACACGGGTATATGAGGAAAGTTATGTTCAGCAGAAAATCAGCAGAAAATGTAAGATCGCTGATCATCTGCCTGCAGTTTTAGGATGGGAAAGAGTATAAGGAGTTGGGACTGGACCTGATTGATTTGCCACTGGCCTATAGCTGTCCTTGCTGAACCTGCTATGTGACTGGACCTCATTGCAATGGGTTACTAATGTAAGCGATGTTGTCTTATTACGTTTGCTGTGTTCCAAATTATTAGCAAAATAAACCTCTGAATCTTAAAGTAAGCATGAATTGTTTTGTGTTGCTGTCTCTCGCCTTTTTCACTGGGTTTTCCCCACCCCAGTGCGTCCTGATCGGTTGCGTCTGTGGGAACAATAACCCGTTAGGGAAAGTGAGAGGCAGGCGATGGGAAGACCGGCTGCTGTGGCCTCTGGTGCGAATCTCTGCCTTCTCCCTTTTCATCTGCTTTTTTTTGTTTCCCTGAAAAAGGATACGTGACGACGATCCTGGAAGACGCGAAAATGTATTCCAGCCACGCCAAAAAGTCGAGCGTCGATGCGGACGACGTGAGGTTGGCCATCCAGTGCCGGACAGACCAGTCGTTCACTTCCCCACCGCCCAGAGATGTATGTTTTTCAAATCTTTTTAGTTCGAATCTTGCCTTAGGCTGGGGAAAATGGAATTGCTGTTTTGGGGGAAGGCGTGTCTAGGGAGATTCTCAGTCATCCAGCTCATAGTTATGGCAAAAGGTGGTGTTTTTTTTCACGAGGCAACTGGACTTTCTTGGTTTTTTTTTTGAAGACGTTTTGCTTCTCATCCCAGAAGCTTCTTCAGCTCTGACCGGATGGTGGGGAACGGAAGGATTTATACTCCTTTGCAGTCATCTGGTCATTTGCCTTCTTTTAGAGGGTCGTTGAGGCCACTTGGAGGTTTATCTGTGTCCTCAGGGTCAGCTGAATGGTGCAAATGGGTGTGGAGCCTTCTTGGAACTGCTGAAAGGACTGTGTTGTAGACTGGAGATGGATGGTGTCGTGTCCCTCCCCCTCTGTTGAGGGAGGGCTGTTCAGTTTTGACCTAGATGGCCTCTTTGACCCCCTCTTTCAAACCGGCGGTCCTCTCTGTCAGCAAAGTCCACATTTTGGACAGAGAGGACAACACAGCCCATTCAGCAGTTCCAAGAAGGCTCCACACCCATTTGCACACTCAGCAACAAATATGATCAGGGAGCTGGAGGCTAAAACACATGAAGAACGGTTACTGGAACTGGGGATGTCTAGTTTAATGAAGAGGAGGACTATTGGGGACATGATAGCAGGGTTCCAGTATCTCAGGGGCTGCCCTAAAGAAGAGGGAGTGAAGCTATTCTCCAAAGCCCCTGAGGGCAAGACAAGAAGCAACGGATGGAAACTCATCAAGGAGAGAGCCAACTTATTCATTACTTTCTGACAGTGAGAACAATTAATCAGTGGAAGGGCTTGCCTGCAGATGTTGTGGGTGCTCCAAATCTGGAGGCCTTTAAGAAGAGACTGTTTGTGTATGTGTGTGTGTGTTGTAGGGCAAGGGGAGAAGAGAAAAGGTCAGGTCTCCCTTCAGAGCCATAGGTGGAGCAGCTGAAGGTGTGATTCGGCACCCAAATATATAATTACATATTGTTTTTGTGATTAATCACTATGCTTTAATTATGTTCAATTCGTAACAATGAAAATACATCCTGCATATCAGATATTTACATTACGATTCATAACAGTAGCAAAATTACAGTTATGAAGTAGCAACGAAAATAATTTTATGGTTCAGGGTCACCACAACATGAGGAACTGTATTAAAGGGTCGTGGCATTAGGAAGGTTGAGAACCACTGTCTAGGGTCTCCTGCCCGAGCAGGGGGTTGGACTAGAGGACCTCCAAGGTCCCTTCCAACTCTATTATCCTCCTCTTCCTCCTCCTTTTCAAGAAGAGACTGGACAGCCACTTGTCTGAAATGGTCTAGGGTCTCCTGCCCGAGCAGGGGGTTGGACTAGATGACCTCCAAGGACCCTTTCAACTCTATTATCCTCCTCCTCTTCCTCCTTTTCAAGAAGAGACTGGACAGCCACTTGTCTGAAATGGTCTAGGGTCTCCTGCCCGAGCAGGGGGTTGGACTAGATGACCTCCAAGGACCCTTCCCACCTTACTGTTCTATGTCTCTGTGTCCCACAGTTTTTGCTGGATATTGCAAGGCAGAAAAACCAGACCCCGCTGCCTTTGATTAAACCCTACTCGGGACCAAGATTGCCTCCAGACCGATACTGCCTGACAGCTCCAAACTACAGACTGAAGTCTCTGCAGAAAAAGGTAAGGACATTTATACTAAAATGGGCCCTTTTGTGTGGCTGGCAGAAATCCAGATTTACCTACCTTCAGTGGGGTGGAAAATATCCTTTAAAAAGCTAGCGTTTAGAATCACGGCCCGTTTCCCCATTTATAGCTTCTTTGTTTAATGATCTAGGCCAGCATTCTGGCTGGGGAATTCTGGGAGTTGAAGTCCACACATGTTGAAAAGCTGCCATGCTTGAAAAACAAAACAACAACAAACCCAGAATTAAACCGACTTTCCAGGCAAGCTTTTACACAATTCATGTTCTTGAGACAGAACTTTCCCAACAGGGTGGGCTCCACGTCGGATGGACTTCGATTCCCATCATCCCCCGGCCTGGGAAAAATGGACATGAGTCCGGCGGGGCCTAGTTAAGGAAAAGCTGCTTTAGCATTTTCTTTAGATCCTGATCCAAAGTCCCTTGTGCTCAGAAGGGATGTGTGGATGTCTAGTGGGGAGATCTGATCACTGTTGGGATTAATCATTAATTAAGCGGTGGATGCTCCCAACACTGGAAGTTTTTAAGAAGAGACTGGACAGCCATTTGTCTGAAATGGGATAGGGTTTCCTGCCTGAGCAGGGGGTTGGACTAGATGACCTCCAAGGTCCCAGCTTTATTATTCTGTCATTTTTTCCTTCCTCCCTCCCTCCTTCCCTCCCTCCCTCAACACTGGAAGTTTTTAAGAAGAGACTGGACAACCACTTGTCTGAAATGGAATAGGATTTTCTGCCTGAATAGGGTGTTGGACTAGATGACCTCCAAGGTCCCAGCTTTATTATTCTGTCATTTTTTCCTTCCTTCCTTCCTTCCTTCCTTCCTTCCTTCCTTCCTTCCTTCCTTCCTTCCTTCCTTCCTCCCTCCCTCCCTCCCTCCCTCCCTCCCTCAACACTGGAAGTTTTTAAGAAGAGACTGGACAACCACTTGTCTGAAATGGAATAGGGTTTCCTGCCTGAATAGGGGGTTGGAGTAGATGATCTCCAAGATCCCTTCCAACTTTGTTGTTGTTATTATTATTATTGTTATTAGAATTAGAATTATTAGAATTATAATAATTCTCGTTTATTCTAATTCTAACAATTAGAATTAGACTTTGCTTGTCAAAGCTTGTCGCAAAAGGGTGGATCGATCACATCACACACACATATACCGGAATGCTGTGATTTGTCATAACTATGCATCTGAATTTTGATCCCAGGACCGTGCGGGCGCACCAACGGTCGTAAATGTGAAAAACAGTCCTGTCTTAATTGTGAAAGATGGTCCTAAAGTCCCTTTTTTTCAGGGCTGTTGCAACTTGGTCACTAAATGAACCGTTGTAATTCGAGGACGACCGTAGGCTCTGCAATTTCGACCGACTCTTGGTTCTGCTTTTTCCCCAGATCTCATCGTCCGCTGGGAGGATCACCGTGCCCCGGTTAAGCGTTGGCGCCGTCACCAGCCGGCCTAGCACACCCACCTTAGGTAAGATGCCCCTCCATTTTTTTGGGGGGGAAGGAGGGGGCTGTCTGATCATGGCTTTCCACCCGCTTTCCCTTCTGTGATGACCCAGGGCACAGCACAGAGGCAACGCAGTCAGCTGGCAATTCAAACCGCCCTTTAATTGCTCCAAATTTTCCCCAAACTCTCCCACGTTTCTGGCAAGCCTCCAAACACAGGAAGACACACACACACCTTCAGCCGCCTCTGGCTGCAAGCAGTTTCGCATACAGTCTGATTAGGAGAGGAATTTACTCAAGGCCACAGAGATAACAAGGAATGACACATACACCATAAACCTAGCTAGTCTGTGTGAATACACGCTTGCCTGAACAGTTTCGGAAGGGAAGCCAAAATACAGTCCGAGATCTTCGAATATCCAAGCAATGTTGTCAGCCAGTCCAATGGTCAGAGCTTCCGGGTTTCCAAGCCGAAGTCACAGAACAAGAGATCAGCAACAACACACGCAAAACTCCAAGGAATCAGTGTTTCTTCCCGACAAATGCCCCTCCCCATAGCGTCTCCTTAAATCTCAGTCTCCAGGTGTTCCTTGTGGAGAGGGGCGGGACGCTCTCCTCCCTAGTAGTAGTTGAGCCTGCCTGCGTTGTTCCCTCCTTCTCTCCACTCTCCGTGCTCTAGGATCAGGAGGGGGTGGCCCTTGCTCATCGCCTGAACTCTGTCTCTCCCGTTCATCCTGTCCCACTCCTGATGGGCCCTGGCCTGCCTCTGCCTGCTCTTCCCCACATTCCTCTGAAACCACAGACCCCTCTCCCTCGACCTCCATAGGGTCCCATTCTCTGACGGAAGCATGACACCTTCCTCAAAGTCTTGTCTCTTTATATGCGGCTATTCCACGGTGCTCCAGCAGGTGGCGGCAACACCTTGCCAAGCTTGGCTGATCTAGCCGGCTTGGATCTTTTAATACTGGGATGGGAGACCACCAGGAGACCACCGGTTTTACAAAACAAATATACCCCCCCAAAAAAAACCCCCACTTCGGAAGAAGAAGAGCAGGAAACCGTTGAGGTATTCTTGCCTGCTTCTTGTCGAGCATCCAGTTTCCATCAGTAGTTCTTCTCTTTGTCTGGTTTATTCTCCTGCTCCAGCAGGGGGTTGGACTAGAGGACCTCCAAGGTCCCTTCCAGCTCCATTCTGATTGATTGATTGAAATGGTCTAGGGTCTCCTGCCTGAGCAGGGGGTTGGACTAGAAGACCTCCAAGCTCCCTTCCAGCTCTATTCTGATTGAAAAGAGATTTAACCCTCCCTTTTTGTTTAATGCGTCCTCTTAACTTTTTCAAGCCGCATGTTTATTTATTTACCAAATAAATAAACAGCGAGATGTGTGGCACAGAAAGGGACCATGAAGGTCCTCTAGTCCAACCCCCTGCTCAGGCAGGAAACCCTACACCATTTCAGACAAATGGCTGTCCAGTTTTTCTTAAAAACGTCCGGCGTTGTAGCATTCACAGCTTCCGGAGGCAGGTTGAAATTGAAATTGAATAATAGATGATAGGCTGAAGTAAAAAAAAAAAAAAAGGTAAATCAACCTAATAAAGAAGATATACAATTAATCCATCTGAGTTTACCAAATAGATAAAACAAGCATGTGAGCTAGCAAGCTGATTGGATTGGGGGAGGGAGTGGTTTGCTGGGGAGGCTGGATTTTTCTCAGCCTTATGGAGCCTGGAGTCCTGAATTTGCCAGCGGTGGGTGGGTGGGTGGGTTGGGGGTCTTCTTCTAGGCTCTCCTTCGCTGCCCTTCCGGTCTGACCTGCCTCGCCTCGAATTGTTGTTTTTCCCCATTTGCAGGACCCCCTTCGGCGCAGGCGGTCTCCGTTTCGGCCAAAGTCGGGACCCCCGTCTCGCTAACCGGACAGAGGTTTACCGTCCAGATCCCCACCTCGCAAACATCTGTAAAGTCAGGTGAGGGGTTTTGAGTGTTATTTTGGGCAGGGGGGGAGTGAGAAGAAGGGAGAAGGGCATCTATCTATCTATCTATCTATCTATCTATCTATCTATCTATCTATCCGCGCATCCATCTATCTATCTATCTATCTATCTATCTATCTATCATCTATCTATCTAATCTATCATCTGTCTCTATCTGTCTGTCTGTCTATCAAACTATCTATCATCTATCTATCTATCCATCCATCCCTCACTCCCTCTCTCTATCTAGTCTCCTTCCCTCCCTCCCTCATCTATCTATCTATCTATCTATCTATCTATCTCTCTATCTCTCTCTCTCTCTCTATATATATATATATATATCTATCTATCTATCTATCTATCTATCTATCTATCTATCTATCTATATCTATCTATCTATCTATATCTATCTATCTCTATCTATCTATCTATCTCTCTCTCTCTCTCTCTCTCTCTCTCTCTATATCTCTCTCTCTCTCTATATCTATCTCTCTCTCTCTCTCTCTCTCTCTCTCTCTCTCTCTCTCTCTCTCTCTCTCTCTCTCTCTCTCTCTCTCTCTCTCTATCTATCTATCTATCTATCTCTATCTATCTATCTATATCCATCTATCTATCTATCTATCTATCTATCTATCTATCTATCTATCTATCTATCATCTACCTCCCTCTCGTGTTTTGTGTGTCTGCTTGATCCTCGCTCTCCCTCTCCCCAGTCGCCCCCACCACCCCCACCGTGCAGAACGTCCTGATCAACCCCTCGCTGATCGGCTCCAAGAACATCCTCATCACCACCAACATGGTCTCCGCCCAGGGCGCCATGGGCGAGGCACCCAACCTCTTGAAGCGGAAACATGAGGAAGAGGAGGATTATGACGTCTTATGAGCTCCCGTGGGGCTCGACTTTCCCCCCACCTCAGCACCCCCCACCACGCTCCTTCCAAAATCTTGCGCCAAACCAGGTGCATTTTCAACCGGGGCACCACCCGAGACTTAAAAAGGTCCACCTTTTTGGCGTTTCCCCCAAAATTACGCTGGAGGGACCCTGAGCTGTTTGCAGGCAGGAGAGGTGTGTGTGTGTGTGAGTTGGGGGGGGCTCTCAAAGGAGGAAGAACTGAAGCCATCCACACACACCCCGCCTCGTAAAAAGACAGTGCTGTGATTTTAATTAGGTGGATAAACTGCATTTATCTGTCTTCATCTAGCTTGGAAGGGAAACGAAATTGGACTACAGAGCTATCGGGTTCACACAATCGTGTTTTTTTGTGTGTGTGTTATTTGAGGTCCCCTGTCCTGTTGTGGGAAATCCCTTCCGCTATCTCCTGTGCGTGTGTGTGTGTTAAGTCATCCGTCGTTCCTGGCTGAGACCGGGATGCGAAAGGAGAGGAAGTCCATTTTTTCCCCGGTTTTTTTTGTGTGTGCTTTTTGTTTTCTGAAAGGGACGGAACAATTTTGGTGTGGCACAAAACCACCTCTGGCAAGTTTTGTTCTGTTTGCGTCACCCGGAAGAGGACAGGACCTTGTGTAGCTGCAAAGGATTGTCGACTTGCCTCGCTGTTCTTTCCGGTTTTAAAGGCCCGGCCGCAAAAATGCGTCCCTCCTTGCCGTTCTTTTGTGGGTCACCGCCACGAACAGCCACAATTTTGTATTTGAGAGCTGCGTTCTAAATTAAACATGTTTTTTTTCTCCCTGAGGAATAATGCAACAGAGATGTTTGGGGTTTTTTCCAGAGATTTTTTTGTGTGTGTGAGTTTAAGGCTGGAAGGATTTGCTTCTGGGGGAGAGGGGGGGCTCTGCAATCTTCATTAGCCCTCGAAGACCCTCAGTGGGGCCAGTGCAAAGCCACCGTTCCCATAGTCCCCCCCACCCAATAGCATTTGGCTATGCTGTAGAGAGCAGTGGTCCCCAACTTTTCCAGCTTGGTGGATCCCCGAAGGTG